TTTCTCCACATTTTACAGAGGAGGAAATGGAAGCTCAGGGAGAGGGGACGTTCCCTGCCCACGGTGACTTGGCTGGTGAAATGACACAGAGATGGGGGTGGGACGCTGCTGTCCTCAGGCTCCCGGGTACAGTGACACATGATTTTCTGCTCACTGATGTGGAGCTGCGTACTACATGTCTGAGAACCCGGGGTTGGGCAGGGATGGGGTTGGAGAAGCTCCATGGAAATGCGGGGGCTTCCGCCGAGGCCCTGAGGTCCCTAATGCATGTGTGATGGGATTGGGGGGCGCCTGGGACCCTGAGATCTGTTCTTCCTCTCTGTGTCTCTGGCTCTCCTGGGTCTCAGGGCTGCCAGGGATTAAAAACCCATCCCAGGGCCTTTGCAGGTGGTGAGAACAGATGCCCAGGCAGATCCCCAAATCCTCCGTGTGTGGTGCTGTTGGACCTGGGGCTGCAGATGGCAGTTCTGGCTCACACAGGACCTCACCTGCCTGGCACCACCCCGCTCCAAATGCTCAGTACAACAGGAGGGATCAGCCCCATTTTTTTTTTGTACCAGACATTGAATCCAGGGGCACTTAACCTCTGAGCCACACCCTCCCCCCAGCTCTTTTTATTATTTTTATTTTTTATTTTGAGACAGGATCTCACTGAGTTGCTTGGGGCTTTGCTAAATTGCTGAGGCTGGCTTTGAACTTGTAATCCTCCTGCCTCAGTCTTCTGAGTTGCTGGGATTAAAGCGTGCCCCAGCATACCCAGGCTTGATCAGCCCCATTTTTAAAGAGAAGAACTCAGGGGCTCAGAGAGGTCAAGCCTTGTGCCGAAGCCACACAGCTAAGGAGTGTCAGTGCCCGGGACACTGGCTGCCAAGCTCCCGTGTCCAGCACTGAACTCGGTGAGCCTGGGCCGGGCACTTCTACACTTTGAGCCTTGGTTTCCTCATCTGCAACATGGACAGGAGGCACGGAGTCGGAAATGGGATGCTAGACCCCCGAGGTAGGCTGCATGTCCCAGGATCAACCTTGGGTATGTCACTTTCCTTTTCTGGGTCTCAGTTTTCCTTTCTGAAAAACAGAGCAGGAGACAGGGAAGGCGACGGGTTTTCCCAGGCCGGTGACTGTCAGGGTTAGCATGAAACAGACTGTGTGTCGGCTGCCCTTGACGTTGACTCCTCCTGGATCCCTGGGGACGGGCATGGCCAAGTGCTTTTTTGGGGTGTGGAGACTCAGGTGAGTGTCTCCGGAGCTTTGCTCTTAGACAGCTTCTCGGGGACCCTGTAAATTTGGACATTCCAAGATTCCAGGCAGAGAGTCAAATCTTGCCTCCCCTGGATTCCCAAAATTTGGCTTCACCTTTCTGAGCCTAAGTAGTTCCTTCTGCAAAATGGGTCCGATGGTGGCCACCTTGCAGAGCTACCAATGTGAGGAAATGTCTGGCATGTGGTAACTCCTGGCTCCTTATGCCACCTCCCACCACACTCAGGCAGTGCTGGAGGGCAGCCAGGCCAGAGGACCTTCTCTCTCTCCCCACAAGGTCTTGTCCTCCCATCTCTCGCTTCTATCCTGCTCCTCCAAGCTCCAGCTCCAGCAGCTGCGTTTAATTGGATTTAACTTAATAGTTTTATTGATGCCTTTTGGTTCAGGGGCTGCAGGGGCCTCTGGGTAATTTGCACATTTTTAACACACCAAATAAAGAGCGATAAGCATGCGCAAGTCCATTTTAATTGGATTAAGGGGAGGCTTGGCTTGGGGAACCATAAACCACAGAGGAGCTGGAGAAAAAGAAGAACTCAGAAATTTCAGGTTTTCTGCCTCCTCCGACCCCACAGAACATCTGCACCCGCACTGCTTCCTGCTGAGTAAAGGGTGCGCTGTGTCACTGTGACGGTGTCTCCTACAGAGAAACACGGGTTGGTGGGTTCTCTCCTCCGCCTCCTTCTCTGGGTGCTTTGTGCATTTTGACAAATGGTTCCACCCACTGGCTTTGGTTTCAGATCAAAGATCCGAGTCCTGGTCCTGCCTCCTTCCTGCTCATCTTAAGCAACTCATTGGATCCCCTGGACCTCGGTTCCCTCCGCGGTGAGAGGTCTTGCTACTGGGGTCCCTTGGTGGGGTTGGCGGGAGAAGTAAATGCTAGCAAATTGCCTGCCATCGTGAAGGTCCCCCCAAATGGCAGCCCTGAGAAGCCCGTTGGAAGCCAAGATCCAGCTGGCTAAGTGAAGAGGCCACCCCCGACAGGTGTGCAGGGCCACCTAGCACAGGCTGAGGGGCCAGGGGTGGCTTGTCCAGAGGCCGTGGGGCTTGAAGAACGAACAGGAGCTGGTTGGGGCTGCAACAAGGTACACTTGCCCCTCCTCCGCGTATGCGTGGAACCTCGAATAGCACCAGGCTCTCAGCGTCCTGGCTTTCCTAGGCACAGGCACAATATAGAGGGACAGAGCCGTTCGCCTCCAACAATTACGACAACACGCCCTAAGGAAAGTGTGGGGCAATGGTCTCTCTTTAAAAAAATCAAGACAAAATTGGTATTTCAGACTATGGTTTGCCAGACATTCCGAGGCGCCGCAAGGAATCAAATGCGGGCTCCAAAAATGGGTGGCGAAGCAAACCTTCATTTCTGGAGGCTGCAGAGCTGGAGCCAGAGCCTGAGCAGGAGCGGGAGCCAGAGCCTGGCTGCAAGTCCGCCTGCTTATATCTGGGGCTTAACACAGCCCCGCCCCTCACTCTGATTGGAGGAGATCTGGGCTCTCATCTACGCGATTGGCTAATATTAGAATTAGGGCGGGGGAAAGGCAGGCGGTGCAATGGGATCCAGGTAAGGCCGGATTCTAGGTTCTGAAAACGGACCACCCCACTTTCCACGCACAGGCTGACCAGGTGCAACTGAAACTTCAGAAAGTGAAATTGTGGGGGGGCTGTGGGGAGGGGACCGCTGTGGGGCAAGTCACCTGGGGACCTAGTTGCAATGCAGATTCTGACTCCAGGGTCTGGGCGGGGCCTGAGAAGGCGCATTTCTGACCCACTCCTAGGGGACGTTGATGGGGACGGTCCCAGGGCCACCCTTTAAGTAGAAGTTAGTGAATGGACAGAACCGAGCTTTGAAGCCAGCCACTGTGACCCCCCAATCCTGCCGTCTCCGCTGTCCTCTGCTAGCACAAGAGCCCAGCAGGACAGGAAACAGGTCCCTCAGGGCCTTTAGCACTACAAGGGGTCCCTGTAGCCTGGGCGGGAGATCATATTGACGATTCCTTATTTTATCTTCAACGTGTATGGCTATCTTGCATTGGATACCGGGCACTTTTCTTATATAAAAATAACACCCCCTTCTTGACTCTTCATCTTCTTCCTACATTTCAGTGAGACAGGTGCCATGGGAAGCCGCCACTTTCCATGTGATCCCTCTAGTGAGGGGTGCCCCTCTGGGATCATGGGGCTGAGCAACAATTCCCCGGCTGTTCTGGGGACCAGACTGCCCATTTGGATCAGGTGTGTGTCCCGAGACATGTCTGCTGTGGCTTGTGTACAAAGCCAGGTCCCAGGAAGGACCTCCTCCAGAAAACCTATATCTGAGCAGGGCAGTCGGTTGGGGCCTGGTTGCTGGTTCCAGGACACAGTGAAAAATAAAAAACCAGATTCACAACTCTGGGTACAACCCTTGTTCATTTTAAATGCTCAGTAAGCATTTGTTTTGATTATGATAATTTAAGCATGTTCTGTGTCCAGGGACTCAGTTACTGAATATTCCACCTGTAGTTTTCATAGAACCATTGAACCAGATATTATATGTGATAATTTATTTTTAAATGCCCACTGAACAGCACGGTTTCCTCCCTGGGGTTCAATTGACTCCACTGTGAACTGCAGCCTGTTATGGGGAATAAAGATATCCTGGTGTGGCGATACCAGGTGTGGCGGTGCAGGCCTATCATCCTGGCTACTTAGGAGGCTGAGGCAGGAGGATCGCAAGTTGGAGGCCAGCATCAGCGACTCAATGAGACCCTCAGCAGTTCTGCGACACCCTGTCTTAAAATGAAAAATAGAAAGGGCTGGGGAGTTCAGTGGTAAAGCACTCCTAGGTTCAATCCCCAGTACCAAAAAAAAAAAAAAATCATCTAGGGGATATTTTCATTTGCCTACCTGTTCCAAGTTGGGTTTTCATGGAGACCAACTCTGAGATGGATTTCCACATGCAGAATTTTTTTTTTTTTTTTGGTGGGGGCTGGGTGGGGACTGCCCTTGGACCCACACTAATGGGAGGGAGGGGAAGAGAGCCAGGCCTGGGCAGAGAGAAGAGGTACTACAGTGCACCTCCCCGATGGCTCGGTGGATCCCCAAGAGAGAGAATGGCTCTTTGGGGGTTTCCCAAACTGGGCTGAGGAATCCAGAGCTTCTGCCTTGCATCAGTTGGTCCTGGGTCTGGGCTTCCCAGAGAGGGCGTGAGCTTGGCAGCGGAGGCAGCCCTTTAGAGCCCCTATACTGTGATGCTGATCGGTCCCTTGGGTAAGGCAGCGGCAGGGTGTTTGCACACGGCCTGTGGAGTCCCCCTCCCTAGGTGACTTTTAACAGTGGACGCCGGGTACCTGCTGCTGTTCTAGCGTTCACTGTCCTGGGACTGATCCGGGGCATGCTGAGGGAGGGCTGTATGTGGTAAGAGGCGGAGGAAGAATCTAAGAGGCTGCAGGAGTCAAGGTCCACCCCCTGGGGCCGGTCACGCTGAGGTCAGCCCCTGCTGGGGCCGGGTATAGGGCAATAAGCATTCTGTTTCCTTTTCCTCAAAACGGTGTCCTCGTTATTGGATTCGCATTGAGGACAAGGACTGAGCTTTTGGTCACAGCTTGTTATGCAGCATTATTGAGAGAATAGCTGATGGGTACAAAGGGAACAGAATATGTAGTAGACTGTAGTGCCTGCACAATGTAAGTGCACGATAAACTCTGGCTCTGGGGACACCATTTATTTAACGAATTTAAATATCTAATTTGTTTTATTACATGAAATATTTATCTTAAGCATTAATTAATTTAAATAAATTTCCTCCGGCAGAGGAAATTTCAAGGCAGCACAACCTTCAGACAGTGGCATGGATATTGCTGGCAACTTTTAGCCAAGTTTTCTGTAATAATCAAGAACGGAAAGCAAAGCAATCTGAAAACGTGCTGCTTGATCAGAAAAGGGCAAGTAAAAACTGGGGCTAAGGAAGTTGTGGTTTTGAAAGACATGGCAGCTACTAAAGAGATGCTGAGTCTTCTGCACAGAAATAATGGGGAAGACAGCTGGCGGGCAGCTCAGGAGCTGGCAAGACCACATCATCTCAGCCAAAGGTGTAAAAGCAAAGATTCCTCCAAGAGGAGACCATGGGACACTCTGCTTCCGGAGGGTGGCCCGGGAAGCTGTTCCACTGGGCTCAGTCACTCGGGTATGCAGAGGCTGCCGCAGTCCTCCCTAGAGGTGTGGCTACTGCTCCAGATGACCGCAGAGTTCAGCAGCAACCACGTGGTGCAAGTTCTGCAGGATTGCAGGCCTCTGGAGTCAGAGGGATCCTGGAGGCTTCTGTTGAGGTTACCGAGGAAGTCCTGGGGGACAGGTGACGTGCAGCAGGGTTAGAGTCCCTGCAGGCAGCTCCCAGGAGGGCGATGCAGGAAAATGTGAGAAGGAAGGCAAAGTTGCAGTGCAGATGCCCGAGATTAAGAGATGCCAGTAACATGGCACCTCTGCTGCGGAGAGCTGCAGCCATCAAGTACAAACAAGTTGAGAGAGAGAGAGAGAGAGAGAGAGAGAGAGAGAGAGAAAGAGAGAGGCGCCACATGGGCTGTAACCAGCAAAGCCACGGGGCAGAGCCACACTAGCCCTTTGGAGGATCGTGCCCTAGGTGCTGGACGGGAGCCGGGCTTCCACCTTGTTTGGGGTCCAGCCCTCCTGTCCTCCAAGCCCCTGTTTCTCCTCTGTGACATGGAAATGTCTACTCTGTGCCATTATTTCTAGGACATGGATAACTTGTGTTTTCATTTTTACAGGGGATCATGCTGAGCATTTGCCTTGGATCTCAGAAGACTTTGCCCTTGAAAGCTTTGGCCCAGCTTCTGGGTAACGTGGGAACCGTTGGGAACATGGGGACTCCTGGAAGTGGGCCAGATGTACTTTGCACTGGGAGATGGGCACGTGCTTTGGGAGACCAGTATAGGAGACCCGATAGGTCCGTACGTAGGGTAGTTGGGTCGACCATTCCTTCCTTCTTCCATGGTTTAGATATGAGTGTCCCCCAAAAGCTCACGGGTGAGACGACGCAAGAAAGTTCGAAGATGGAATGATGAGGTAACGAGGTGGAACCTAATCACGGGTGGGTTGCACTGGGTGGCAATGATAGGCAGGTAAGGTGTGGCTGCAGGAGACAGGTCACGGGTGTGACATAGTTTATAATCTCCCTCTCCACCTTCGGTTACCACATCCTGAGCTGCTTTCCTCCACCTTCTGCCAAGATGCCCTTCTGCCTCACGCAGGGCATCCATGGAGGAGCTGTATATGGACTGAGACCTCTGAAACCAGGAGCCAAAATACACTTTTCCTCCTCGACATTGTTCTTGTAGGTCTTTTGGTCACAGCAACGAAAAAGCTGACTTCCCACTCTCATACCTATTCATAAATATTAGTAGGAAATCATGAGTCTATTAAACAATTTTTGTTACTAATATCTAAATTTTAAGCACCTTTAAGAGGAGACCACGTTTTGATTTCTTTTATCAGTGCATTACAGTCATACATGATATTGGGGCTCATATGGACATAATGATAGAGACACGGAATTTTATTTGATCCAGGTCAGGCCCAAGCACTTCCCCTTTCCTGACCCTCCGCCAATCCCCTGCTTCCCTCCTCCACTCTGCTGGTCTGCCTTCTATTTATTTATAGTATTTAAAAAAAATTAATGCATTCTGGATGTGCATAAAGGCAAACTTCGCTGTGGCATATTCACATACGTACATAGGATCGTTCAATCAACTTCATCCCACCATTCCTCCCTTTTCCCATTCTTCCTCTCTTCCTCTGCTCCCCCAGGCTCTCTTCTATTTTCTTGGGATATCCTCATCCTCCCTTTATTATTCTCCTATTCAAGAGAATAAAAACATATGTCTATATACAGACCTGTGGGTGAATGTCCACAGCAGCTTCATTGATAATAACCCCAAACTGGAAAGAACTCAAATCACCATCAGTTGGTGAATGGTATAAAAAAAGGTGGTATGTCCATACAATGGAATACTACTGAGCAGTGAAAAGGAATGAACTAATTCATGCAATGACATGAATAAATCACAAAAGAACTTTGTTAACTGAAAGAAGCAAGGCTCTTTGCGTGGTTCTGTTTACATGACATTGTAGATGCAAAACTATCTGGATAGAAAGCAGATCTGTGGTTGCCTGGAGCCATGGGGTAGAGGGAGGAGAGTGACTGCACAGGGCCTGGAAGAGTCCTATGGGGCAATGGAAATGTTCTCTAGCATGACAGCGATACTGGTCACTGTCATGACTCATCAAACTCTATGTCTGAAAGTGGCAACATTTGGTGTTACAGTTGGGGCATTGAATGTCCCCCCAAAGATTGGTCCCCTGGGTGGTGCTATTGAGAGGTGGTGGGAAGTTTGAGAGGTGAGGTCTGGTGAAAGGCTCTCAGGTTAACTTTAAGGGAATCATGGAACCCCACTCTCTCAGTCTCTCTGTACTACCTGGCTAATGATGTAAGTGTTTGCTCTGCCACATGCTTGTGCTATAGTGTGCCTGCCACCCTCATCACAGGCCCAAGGCAATGAGGTTGCTCCATTTTGGACTGGAACTTCCAGAATCACAAGCCCCCCCAAATAACCCTTTTTGCTTTATAAGTGGCTTGCCTCAGGTATTTTGTTATCACGATGTGAAGCTGGCTAATACATGCTGCATGCAAAATATGCTTCAATAAAACTGGCCAAAAATGGCCAAAATATCCCACGATGAAGGACATACTACTACTGACGAGAGTAATTAAATACCTTTAATAGTTATTTAATGGGTATTTAAATGTCCACAGACATTTGTCTCATTTTCTAGACTAGGAAACGGATGCTCAAAGACATGAAGCCAATTCCCACAGCTACCCCACTGGGGAAGGGCAGAGCAGGGTTTGGAACCAGAATTTTCTTTCTGCAGGACCCACAGTCAGGCCCTGAGACCAACCGGGCTGCCAGCCTAGGACTTGAGAATGAGGTCAATTGCTGGGGAAAGACGGGATCCTACCACCTGAGGGGCCCCTCCTGTCTCTTGGGGAATTAGCTAACAATTACTGGGTCGTGCATTTAATTAGGTGGAAGGCTGCCTGGGATAACAGTAATTAGCACTTAAACCTCACTCCTCCACATCGGCTGGCTTTAAACGCAGGTTTCTGAATGAAGCATTTTGTGCAGGGAGGTGAGGGAAGGGGGTGTGGCCACTTCCCAGGACCCCCCCAGAGGTGAGGAGGTGGGCGTGGCTTTCTGGGTCCTGTCCTGCCAGCCTCAGGGCAGGGCCCAGCGCCTCAGTTCAGTGGGCTCATTAACTAGAGAAAGGGCTGATGGTTCTTGGAGTCTTTGTTTTGACATCTGGGAAGGAGGTGTGACATCCCCTGTGCCTTTGGACAGGGACCTTCTCCTCCTGGGGTTTTGTCTCCCTCAGGGGGTTGGTGGGGGTAATTCCAAGTCCTGCATAGACCCTGAGTAGGAGCACTGCCCACTCCAGCCCCTTAGGGGGATGGGAAGGGGACAGAGGGTCCCTCGAACCTGGGGGGGGCGAGGGTCCTGCAGAGCAGCAGAGCAGCTTTGGATCCAGAGCAGAGGGAGCTGGGCCACACAGAAGGAGGGGCCAGGGGAGTGTCCCTCTGTCCCCCACTAACTGCCCGCCTCTCCCCCCTGCTTAAACCCGGGCAGGGTCCTCAGGTCTGTCTCCTGGACCCAGCACAGACAGGGGAAGCAGAGGTGGCACCCAGAGGGGCATCTGGATATCACCCAGAAGCACCTTGTGGAACCCGGCCACCCCTTCCACATGCCCTCCACTCTACTCCCCGTGGCCACCTGGGAGCACTTGGAAGCAAAGTTGAGTCAAAAGTGAGCCCAAGAGCCAGGTTCCAGCTTGGGGGCTCCATTGCCCCCACACCTCTGCACCCCCCTCAACCAACATGACAGGCGGCGTGGCTCAGGGATGCCACACTGTCACCTTGCATCCCGCACACTGCTTCTGCCAGGAGATGTTGACAGTCCTCATCAGGAGACAGTCTGTGTCCCCTCCTCTTGAATCTGCGTGGGCCTGTGACTCTGTGGCTTCAGGAGGCCAGGTCTTAGAGAGCACCTGCCTTTCTCTCTGGGGAGATGTGCGTGGGGAGTTCTGACCACCAGCAGGAAGTTCTGCTCTGAAGCTTCCATGCTGGGCAGACCACGGGGGAGACTCTGAGGTAGAGAGACATAGCCTCTATGTTCCGGCTCCCTGATGTGTGTAAGGGGCATTTAGGAAGTTCCGGCTGCCAGCCAGTGCCCAGTGGAACAGAGATGAGCTGTTCAGTGCCATAAGCCAATCATGCATGGCCCTGTAGCCACACTGCCTGAGTGTGAAGCCCGTTCCTGTCATGCACGCTGAGGGTAACTTTTGGGTCAGTGACTTCACCACCTTGACCCTCAGTTTCTTCATCTAGAATGTCATCTTAGATCATCTAAAAAAGTATCTGATAGAATGCCTGTTCTTGATTAATAGCAACGGTTCTTTATTCATGATAGCCATTCGTTTTCCTCTAAGCAAATTCTTTGTGTTATCAGGGCCCTGATCTCTCCCTGTAAAAAAAAAAAAAACTGTAATTTACAAGGTTCTGATTTTCTAGTTTTGGAGATATTTTATGTGGTCATCTGCTTGGGGATAGAGGATTAGACCCCAGACCACTCAAGTCCCCCCTCAAAGCTGTAGTACTTGCCCTCGTGCTATTTATTTGCAAATTAGGGACACTGTAGTCTTCCAAAAGCATCACAATATGTCAACCTGCATGACTCTGGGCTAATGGCGTCTTGGAGAGTTCTGCAGGGCACAACTGTACCATGAGAGATGGAGGCCGGGTCTCCTAGATTAAAGATCCACAGAGCCCTGTCCACGGTGAACCTGAGACGGCTACTGGGGCAGAAACCATCGCCCTCCTCCTCCGATACTTTGTCTTTCTCTTTGAGAAACCAGGGACTGTCCCCACCCCATCAGCTGGGCCGTGCGTCCACTCATTGCCATGGGCAGGCTGGGTCCTGACTTTCCCAGCTTCTCAGGGGGTAGGAGACTGTGGCTCTGCCGTGGGCCTTAGGGAGCAAGATGCCAGAAAGGTCTTCATGGCTCTGAGTTGCTTTCCAGAACCTTCTCGTTTCCGCCCTCATGACTCTCTGGGATTTCTTATCGGTCAGCTTTTGTGTATCTGGGGACAGTTTCACCTCTTCTTCACTTTGGGAGGATACTCTTGTTGGGTCTAGCCTCCTTGGCTGGCCCTTTTATTTACTTACCTCTTTTCTTGCAGGATTTGGATCGGGGCCTTGTGGCCTCCGTGATCAAGGATAAGAAGTTGGCTCTTCCTCTTTCCGAGGATCCCGTGGATGTGAAGACTCATGCCTGTCCTGCTGCTCGCAAGACTCTCTTTGGGTTAGATTTTGGCCGTTTGCTTATAATATATCTTGATGAAAATCTCTTTGTTATCCTACTTGAAGTTCATTGAGCATCTTATGTGTGAATTCATGTATTTTATCATTTTGGGGGAAGCGTTTTGAGGTCACTATTTATTCAAATAGTCTTTCTTCTTTCTCTTTCTTCTCTCCTTCTGGACTCACGTAATTCATGTTTTTACCCTTGATGGTGACCTCCAGTCCCTTAGCTCTTCACGTTTCTTCATCCTTCTTTTTTTTTCTGTTCCTCAGACTGGATAATTCTCATTTTTCTATTTTAAAGTTCAAAGATTCTTTTTCCTTCCTGCTCACATTCATGGCTGAACACCTTTAGTAGAAGTTTTTACTTCAGTGACTGTAACTTTCAGACCCAGAATTTCTACTTGGTTCCTTTTTACTTCTATTTTATTGATACTTTCATTTAGTTCTTGAATCATTTGTGGGGGGGGGTGGCATCATTTTTTGGGAGTGGGAGGGGGAGTACCAGGGATTGAACTCAGGGGCACTCGACCCCTGAGCCCCATCCCCAGCCCTATTTTGCATTTTATTTAGAGACAGGGTCTCACTGAGTTGCTTAGGGCCTCGCTTTGGCTGAGGCTGGCTTTGAACTCTTGATCCTCCTGCCTCAGCCTCCTGAGCCTCTGGGATGGCAGGCGTGTGCCATTGCACCTGGCTTTGCATCATTTTCTTGATTCTAGTTCTTTGTTCATGGTTTCCTTTAGCTTCTGAGACATATTTGGAACAGTCGATTTAAGGATTTTGTCAACTAAGTCCAATGTCTGGGTTTCCTCACGGATGATCTTTGTCGATTTATTTTTTTCCCCTTTGAAGTTACCATATTCTCCTGTTCTTTTCTGTGCTTTGTGAAAACTGGTCATTTTGAGTGTTATAATATGTCACTCTTGGAATCATGGTCTCCCCTCTTTCCCAGGATTTGCTGTGGTTGATCACCGGGAGAGGAAACTCTCTGCTCAGTGACTTTTTCAAACTACTTTTGTGCCGATTGTATTCTTTCTCACGTGTGGTCACTGAGGTCCCTGCTCCATTATTTTAGTGGTCAGAGGGTGACCTTAAGGCTTTCCTTAAATGCTGAAATCCAGGTTCCTTTACTGTATTAAGCGTTTCCCCGGTTGGTGTACACTGTGGATTAAATTCTAGAGTTCCAAAATGCCAATTCTGCCCGTTGTTACCAGCTGATGCTTGATTTGGTCCGAGGATTTATTCCCTTTGGTTTGTGATCTCTCAAAATGCTTAGCATATTGGTGGCATCACCTGCACCCTCTGGGTATGTGAGTATTAGGACCTAACTAAGCTTCTCAGGTGGTTTCTCTACCTGCAAGTGGAACAAAAAGGTTTTTGTCTGTGTGAGCTGGCCAGGGTCAGTTGGAACCCACTGACCGGGAACCAGGGAGACCCTTATTAAGCCAGGAAGGCCCTTCTCTCATGACTTGCTCCCCCTTCTTTCCCAGTCCATTTTATTCTTCGTACCAGGTTTCCTTAGAATCACTGATGAGGTTTAGAAGTGTCCCCCCAAGGCTGTGGGTTGAAGGCTTGGTCCTATGTGTCAAGGTTGATCCACAGTTTCAAGACTTGCAGCCCACCATGCTGTTGGGAGGGGGTGGAACTTTTAGGAGGCGGGGCCTAGTGGAAGGAAGTCAGGTCATTGGGGGAGGTCCTTGCTGGGGAGCTGGGGAGCCAGGCCTCTTCCTGTCCTTCTCTTTGCTTTGTGGCTGCCCTGAGGTGAAGAGGCCTCCTCTACCACATGTTCCCACCATAACATACTGAGCCACCACAGGTCCAAGCCACCATGGACTGAGACCTCTGAAATCACAAACTAGAATAAACCTTTTTTCCTTATAAGTTGTTTACCTGGGTGTTTTGTCATAGTCCTGGAAAGCTGACCAACACAGTTACACAGTTACTTCCAGGAGATTCATTTTGTGGTTGATATAAATCCTGCTCAAGAGGCGACTAGAAATGGAGCAGATTCCATATTCAAGACAGGCTGCTTTTGGAAAAAGGCTGCTGCTCAGGTATGAGGTGCTTATTGATCCTTGACTGTTATCCAGGGACTTTAACAAGATAAGCTCATCCCACTCTCCCAACAACTTTGTGAGAGAGGTGCCGTCATGTCTACTTTAAAGAAGAGCAAATTGAAGCTCAGGGTGTTTCAGAGTTGGTAAGGGTGAGACCTGAACCAGGAAGACCCTCAGGGATCGTGAGTCCCTGTGGTTGAACATTCCCACTGGTGATGTCACTTGCACTCCTTGGCTCACTTCTCATGTCAGCTCTGTTTGGCATCCTGGGATCTGGTCTCTGAGGGATGCACCTCAAGCCTGCACGATGCCTCCTGCCCTGGGCCCTGGACCTCCCAATGTCATGGCCTTGACACGACCTTGTGGGGGAGGGAAGGTGGAGATTTGGTGACCACTCCTGACGGGTAGCAGATGGTCCTGGGAGGTGGCCTACCCACTTCTGGGAGGTCCTGGGGGAGTCACACCCCCATGACCCACAGGCCTGACCCTGACCATGCACCTGACCTTGGCCTTTCCTTTCTCCTCTCCCTACCTCTGCTCCCCAGGCTCCTTTCTTAATTAAAGGACCTGCACACAAATCCTCGCCCAGCGCTCGGCCTTCAGGGGACCTTGAGCAAAGGCCCGGCTGGCGAAATGAGCTTAGATGTGAAAATCAAGCTTCACCCCAAGGATGAGGGTCGGGGTTCAAATAGATGAATCAGGAAAAACAGCTAAATAATGACAAGGTGGGCTTTTGTGCCAAGGTGTCACCCTGGATGTGTCCATGTGGGGTGTCTGGCTTTGTCAAGGTGTTTCTGTGACAGGTTTGTCCCCTGCCTGGTGGAAAGTTCATGTGCTAAGTACCCTCTGGGCCACAAAGCCACCCCTGGTCAAGAACCACTGAGTTACAGGTCAGAGTTTTACCTTTGAGTTTTTGTTTGGTTTGGCACCAGGGATTGAACTCAGGGGCACTCAGCCACTGAGCCCCATCCCCAGCCCTATTTTGCATTTTATTTAGAGACAGGGTCTCACTGAGCTGCTTAGGGCCTCCCTTTTGCTGAGGCTGGCTTTGAACTCTGGATCCTCCTGTCTCAGCCTCCTGAGCTGTTGGGATGACAGGAGTGGGCCACCCCACACAGTGATCATTTGGTTTTGATAGGGTTTCCTAATTGCTCTAATTTGAGAACCACCAATTTAGATTTCTAACTGTCTAATTTAGGCCCCAAGGGATCTAAAGTCTCTTTGAAGCTGTAGACACACGTTGTGTGTGTGTGTGTGTGTACATTTTTCCTGGGGAGGCAATTCCGGCTTTTCCTTAGGTTTCGAAGCTGGTCTGGAACACCCCTTCTCTTCCTGGTGATTGGATTTTTCCCCTTTTCTCCTGCCTCTACCCAAGTCTTTCCCTTCCATTGTCCGTTCCAAGGGGAGAGGCTGCACTTCCTTCCTGGGTGGTATTTCCCGGGGAGACTGACCCTTCATCTCTGGGGGGCAGATGTCGGGGCGCGGTGGTGGTCCAAGCAGAGAGGAGGAGTCCAAGATCATTGCTTGGCCGTCGTCATGGGAACCTGTAAACCAACCTCCCAGCTGAGAGTCTGGCCTGCGGCTCCCACTAGAGGCCCCATCTCAGCACCCCCACCTTCCCGCACTTCTAACCCCGCCCCATGCCAGCAACACCCCTCCACCTCCAGGAGTGAAAACCCCCAAAATCTTCAGGCATTGCTAAAGAACTCTGCAGTGCAAAATCTCAAATTCATATTTGAGATTCTACTTCTGTTTTGGTGGTGCTCTATCCCCAGCCCTGTAACATTCTCCTTGTTAGGTGCTTCCCGGGCAGCACCCCTTCCCAGTGTCTTGCCAGACCCTCTCCTTTCTTTCTTGGCTCTGAACTCATTTTACTCCCCAGGATGTAGCCCAGGAGTTAAAATGCAGACTCTGAAACCAGACTGCCTGGGTTCAAAGTCCAGTTCCGTCCTCTCCCCTGCTGTGTGACCTCGGGGGAAATTGCTTTGCCCCTCTGAGCCTTGGTTTCTCAGGTGCAAAATGGGGAGAATGAGAGTCTCTTGTCTCCCAAGGTTCCAGCGATAATTTGGTGATATTCTACATGGTACTGGCACATGCTTAGTATCTGATAACTGTTAGCTGTGATCATCACTGTAATCATGGTTTCTCACTCCCCTGTGGTTACAGGAGAAGCAGAACCTGTCTCTGTGGTCAGGGAAGCTGCGGAGACGAGGAAGGGCTGAACTGAGTTTTGGGGAGGTGGAGCTTTAGCCAGGCAGGGGCTTCCCGGGGTGCTGTGGGTCGTGGTGTGAGCTGCCTCTGGGATAGACCTTGAGCTACCCATGGGACATGGCTGCATAAGAATTTGGGAGGAGATGTGCTCAAGCGACTCTTGAGGACCAGGATCTGTGAGCTGTACTGCACCACTGGTTCTGGGACTCCAAGCAGGGGCGAGAGAGCAGAAACAGCTGAATAATACTGGAAATGGAACTCAAGGCCGCTCGGGGACTGGCTCAGGCCTGTGGTGGCAGGTGACTGGGACCCTTCACTCAGTAGTCTTTCCTATTCCTTGATTTGCTTCTTTAGAAAATCAGCAGGGGTTTCCTTAGCACCTACTATGCGCCAGATACGGCGCCTACTGTGCTGGTTGGCTGAATGCGCTGGTCGTAATGCCTGAAGAGGTGTGAGGGACGGCAGCCATCCTTTGTCCCGTGGTGAGGGTGGCTTAGCTGGGGCTGGTGGTTATCTCTGGGATCACTCTTGTATCGTAGTGGTTTTTGGACCTGGAACGCTCTGGAAAATACAGCTGTCTACCTGAGCCCCATTTTTTGGAAAAACAGACTCAGAATTTCTAAATAAGCCTGGATGTGGCAATTTCTAGAAGCCCAGGGAACGGTGACGATGGCTTGGGTGCCATCCTCCTCCCTCTTGGTCCCACTTTAGGACGATGAAGCTCTGGTCACGGCCAGGATGACTTGCTCTGCCTGCTCCTTCTCCCTCATTGCTCAGCAAACGATTCTTCCAGAATACACAGAAGTCATTTTTGCGCAACACATTCCGATGCACGGCGCTCATTCATTTAACGGGCCCTCGGTGGCCTGGGAGAGAGCCCTGCTTGGAGCCACCGGGAGCCACCGCCACCTTCTGAAATTGGATTTGAGGCCGCGGGGCTGGGGGTGGGGTGAGGGCGTCGGTGTTTGATCACTTCCTCCCCCGTCCTCCTCGGGGTCCTTCTCTCCCCGGGTCACCCCCTGTGCGCTGGCAGATTGCAGACTGTCAACTTGGGGGGAGTCGGTCAACCCGCAAACGGGGTAAATAAACATGCTGCTTCCGCCAGGATGGATGTCATCATCATCTGGATTCACAGGTCGCTGGCACCTTGAACTGCTTTTGGGGAAAAGGCTTCCTTGTAGCATCCATCAACTTTCCACCCTGCCTGTCCCCATCCTCCCCGTCCCCTGAGCACCCCCCTGAGTCATTCAAATACCCACACAACACGGATGGGGGACATGATTCTTCTCTCCGGAAGGGAATGCGTCTTGACAGATGTTTTCTTTGGGGACAGTTATTTATAGCAGCAAGAGCTCTCCTACAGTAGGGCACCGTGCTTCCTTCCTCCTCCTTCTCATTTCTCTAAAATGGAACATATTTTTGTTTTCCTGGTGGGAAAAACTGCCAGATCAATGATTTACCTCTCTCTCTCTCTCTCTCTCTCTCTCTCTCCATATTCTCTTCTGTCTCTTTCACCTTCTGAACAGTCTCTGGATTCTCCCAGAATACAATCCAGGTATCGCCACCAACTTTTGTGTCTCAAAGCAGATGGCTCAACTTCCCTGAGCCTCCGGCCGCCCACGGGGCTGTGCTTGGTCCCCGACACCCCGCAACCTTGGGGTCAATTTCTAAGGGAGACTTGAAGGAGGGCTTTTGTGTCTGTCCCCTACGTTCCAGCCCTCCTCTGCCTACGGGATGAGCTCTTGGGAGCAGGGGCTATAATCAGAGGGACATCTTCCCCCCTTGGCCCCCTCCCTGCCCTGTGATCTCCATCTCAGTCAAAGATACCCCCCCCAAACTGCCTGGCCCAGGACCTCGGGGCCCTCTTGGCTCTTTTGTCTTCCTGCCCCCCTCCCCATATCTCGTGGGCTCTTCCTCCCTCCCTGTTGGTAGTGAAGGGACCGGGCAGCGCAGCCTGTGCCTGCAGATTCTGTTGCTAAGGAAACCACTTCCTTGGTTACCAGCCTGGGTACCATTTGTCTCACTGCGTCTGCATCCCGCCGAGTCGCCCCCGCTCCCCAGGATGAGAGGACGGCAGGGGTGGGGGAGAGCCCAGGATCCAGAGGCAGGGTGTAGAGACAGAGATGGAGAGGAGACCACGGGACGGGACGGGGATGGGGTGACGGGAGGGCAGGGAGGAAAGAGCCAGAGAGAGAGCGGGAGGAGGAGGGAGGAGGAAGAGGGCAAAGAAGAAGGGGGGAAGGAACCAGAGGAGGGGAGGGGGAGTGGAGCCAGGCCCCCAGAAGGAGGAGGGGTCTGCACAGGACCTGTTCCCAGCATCTCTATCCTCTCTCCCCTCCCACATGTCCCCTGGAGACATTCACAGTGACCTCCAGGGCTTCTAGAGAATCTGGAGTAGATGGCAGCTCTCAGCCGCTGCGGGGCCTGGGCGTCCCTGCACTGAGGACCACTGGGATCTGCAGCTTCTCTTCCTCCATGGACACAGGGGGACTGTCACTTTCTGCAAACAGGATGGGCTTTGGGGCCCTTAAAGGAGAGGCCAGCAGCTGAGCTCTGTGCTCAGGCCAGTGACCGCAGGAGCCTCCCTGTCCCCAGAAAAGGGAGTTGATCTCCGCTCTGAGCAGCTCAGGGTTGGTGAAGGCAGCCCACGTCCTCCCCTTCTCTGTCCAGGAGCGCCTTCCTGAAGCTGTCTGGCCCCGTGCACGTATCTGCCCCGTGCACGTATCTGGTTAAGTGGGAGCTCTGCAGGGATGGGGGGTCTGCCTGCGTGGTCCCTAGAATCAGGACCAAGGTCCTTCCCAGGCTGGCCATAAAGATCTATGCTAGAGGGCTGCCGAGGGGGTGGCAAAGGCAGACCCTGGACAGAGCAGGGCGCCAGCCTGTCCATCTACCCCGCCCTGGCCCCCAGCTCCTCCCACCTTCCTGTCATTCACCATGAAGGAGGGGGAGTGGGATGTGGCACAGAATCTGTGAGGTCCTGGGGGGAGAATCCAGGACAGCTGGATGCTCCGTGGCGCCCCTGGTTTCTGTCTGGGAGGAACGGGCTGCGTAGAGGGTGGGAGGAGAATTGGCCGCACACGGGTTCTGGGATCAAGCCTGGGACCAGAGCCAACGCTTGGTCTGAGATCAGGCCAGAGCTCAGAGTGACCAAGGTCAGGACTCCTCCAGGGCCAGGACTGGGGCTCAGGTTGTGGCCCGATTCGGAGCTCAGGTGACAGAGATCAGGGCTCAGTCAGGAGACACTGTCAGCCCTGGTTCTGGGCAGACTGACTCAGGTGGGAGTAAAGTCAATGAGCAGGGTCAGGGTTTGGTATGGTTCGGGTCAGACTTGGGACTCCATGTGGAGTGTGGACAAGGGATCAGTAGGAGACCTAGATCATGGATCAGCACGTGCCTAGGATCAGGGCTCAGTCTGCGAGCAGGGTTTAGCTATGAGCCAGGTTCAGGGGTGTTGGATTGGATTCTGTGACCAGCTCAGACTTGGCTTAACAGTGGGGTCCCAGGGTAGCCTGGGGCGCAGATCAGAGCACAGAATGGTGTCCAGGAGCCAGGACCAAGCCCTGAGGAGAGGGACACTGCCCTCAGCTCTGAGCAACCTCACACCCCGTCCCCAGAGCTCTGTCTTCCCCGCCTATCTCAGTGACCTCAGGATTAGACACCAACCCTTGCCCCAGATATTCTGTCACTGTGTCTACCTGTCTGTCTCTGTCTCACACACACACACACACACACACACACACACACACACTAAGGAAACATCCCGTCTATGAACACAACACTCTGCCACGTGGTAGAATTATCAACAAAACTCTCATTTAATGATAGTGTTGACCTGAGGAATCTTCAGACAGAGGCGGGTGGTCCAAGGTGACCACCGGCAAAGAGCTGGTCCAGGTCTTGGACCGAATCTCCCAGAGACAGCTGCCCTCCCAGTGGGAGTGGAGGCCAAGTCCGCTGCTGCTTTGTGAAAGAACACTAGAAATTCACCGGGGGAAGGACACTCGGTACACGATACATTCAGAGCCCCCTGGCCGGGCCCTGGGGTGGCCCAGGTCCTACAGTCGTGGGAACCAGAGATACAGGTCTGACTCCTGTGCCCTCTCTGCGTGGCGGGGGTCCAGGGGGCGGAATGTATTCGTCATAGACCTCTTAAAAAAATAAATCTCTTTTCACTTGCCTTCCCCAGGCCCCTTTGCTGTTTGGAACGAACTTCGTCTTCAGAGGGACGGCTCAGGGGGGGCCGCCCTGGACAGGATGGCGAAGAGGCAGTGACCTATGGCTTTTGCATGGACGTCGTGGGAGGGTCCTGTGGACAGGATGTAAAGCCGAAGGATCCGACCTGCGGGCGGGAGGGGATCTGGGGTCAATGAATGATCAGTGACTCAGGTCCTCAGAAATCCTTTGGTTTGGTGTCTCGGCGTCAAGAGAGCAGCGGAGCGTGGAGATGATGGGCCATTCTGACCCCTTCCTCGGAGGACCCCCGGGGAGGCGGGTCCTACTGGGCTGTGGTCAAGGGGAGGCCGGTGCCTGGAAAGGAGGGGCATCTCTTCCAGGCGCGGTTCCTTCTGATCTGGAACCTGGCGCTCTCACCTGGATAGCACGGGACCCACTGGTAGGGGTCACCAGGGCAGTGTAAGATCGAGGTGTGAGACCCTCCACCTTGGTTCACTGGGTCTTCCGTCGGGTGCCCGGGGAGACCTGGGAATAGGATCCAGGACTCGGAGTTCACCTCCTAGACAGGGGGCTGGGCAGGGAGGGAGGGCCACAGTGTGACCTGCCTGGGGTGCGCTCAGGACGCCCGTGACCCTGCCTGGGGTGCCCACTGTGCCGTGAGCACGGCGCTCTCCTCTACCCACCCAGACCCCAGACATCTAAGGCCTCCGGGACGTGGCCGGCTGTCTTTCTCCCAAACAGGAGGTGACCTGAGCCATGTCACAGCAAGCGCTTCCTGGAGAAAGCGAGGCTCTGCCCCGTGAGCCATCCGGGCAAGGTCCCAAACAGCTGATCTCCAGGACCACGGTGAACCCTGCAGCCCACCAGTGCAACCCGGAGTGGTGGGCGCTGGGACACGGGGGACACAAGACGCTGGTGCCCGTGACCAGAACTCCCCAAGCCAGGTAGCCCGCATCTCCAAGAGGGAAGGGGCGGGTGCGGAGGGCGCGGGGACCTGGACAGTCGGTTCCCTCGAGCCTCCTCTGTCATGCAGGAGGCTCGCCCAGGGCAAGCAGCGGCTGCCACGGGGGCGGTCCCAACCGGAGAGGCCAGGTGAGTGGGCGTGGCCAGGCCGCCGCCCTCCCGCGCCGCATCATCTCGGGTAGTAGTCGTCGGGGACGCCCGTGAGGTTGCGGCCCTTGAGCGCCGCGTCCACCATCTTGATGTAGGCCGAGATGCTGCGCTGCATGTCGGCCGTGTAGGGGTCGAACTCGAGCTTGCGCAGCCCCGAGCGCTTGAAGTTGCCGTCCTTCTGGCTCTCCACGCACAGCAGCCGGTCCTCCCGCACCGCCACGCCCAGCAGGCGCACCATGCGGCCCAGCTGCACGAACAGGTCCTGCTTCAGGTCCTCGAAGTGCACCACCAGCACCTTCTTGCCGAACTTGAGCCAGTCCAGCGTGTGGGTGGCCCACCAGGGGGCGTAGTTGCGCACGAACTCCGGCCACTCTGCGGAGAGGAGGAGCCAGCGGTCAGGCAGGACCCCGGGGCGGAGCGGCCTTTGACCGCGCTGGCCCCGCCCCCGCCCTCAGCCTCAGCCTCCGCCTGGCACCGCCTCTGGCCCTCTTCGCCGAGGAGGGTGGCACCACTTGGTGTCACCACGGGCCAGGCACAGCCCTGGGTATAAACCTGAGTAACTACGGCATAGAAAGATAACGTAAGAGACACAGGACACAGAAATACACAATCATAGATGACAGAAAATGCGCATCACCCTACATATATGAATATAGAAAATATGATAGGAAATATGTAAATTGTGTACACTAGATAATTATACAAGATTAATATATAATATATGCATATTTTATACATATACATGCATATTTATATATCATTAAATTTTATAGAAGTATGCTACATACATAAATACATGTAATATATGTGATATATGTAATAAGTAAATAACCATGTATCACATATAAATAATATATTTATAATATAGAATCAAATGCATTCATAAATTATATAGAACTTATATTAACATGTCAATTACGTATCATGGTGTATACCTATAATCATATATACATATATTTTGGGGGGGGGATACAGGGGATTAATCCCAGGGGCACTCAGCCACTGAGCCACATCCCCAATTCTATTTTGCATTTTATTTTGAGACAGGGTCTCACTGAGTTGCTTAGTACCTCTCTAAGTTGCTGAGGATGGCTTTGAACTGGCGATCCTCCTGCCTCAGCCTCTGGAGTAGCTGGGACTACAGGCATGACCACCATGCCCAGCTATAATTGTATTTTCATAGCTATGCTAATATAGCTATTAATTCCATGAATCCTCACAACCTTATGGGGTTGGACATCATCATTTTCACTCAACAGGAGAGGAAACGGAGGCACAGAGAAGTTAAGTAGTTTGCTCAGGGTCACTCAGCTAATAACCAGCAGAGCCAGATCTGAGGTCAGGCAATCTGGCTTCAAGTTCTGGGCTTTTAATGGTGGCTAACGTGTCCCATGTGGCCTGAGCCCCTACTCCGAGGGTAATAAAGGGGCTGTTGTACAGAGGAAGCAGGAATCGTATGCAGTTGTGGGCATGGAGGCTGGAACCAGCTGTGACTGCTACCCTGTTCTCTTCTCAGGTGAGAGGAGGATGCTGGGAACAGAGAAAAGGGACTTCCGCCTCAACTCTGAGCCCAGCTGGAAAACCACAGGGCAGGTGCTCTGAAGTCCAAACGGGCACTACTGCTTCCTGTGGGTTCAGCGCCACCCAGCACCTCCCTGGGGGGAATGTGTGTGAGGACAGTTATTATTAGTTCTTCAACTAAATCGGAATCTCCTGCTGGGTGATGGCTACCCATTGTCTCATTTAACCCTAACAACTACCCTGAAATCAGGACTCCTGTTCATTCAGCACCAGGGAGGAGACTGAGGCTCAGAGAGGTGAGGCGACTTGCTCAAGGTCACACAGCCAAGAAGCATCATCCTGATCAAGCCTGCCTGATTCCAGCCCCTGCTCTTTTCCAGGCACCCGCAGCCTCACCCTAGATACTTCCCCAGGCCTGGGACTCAGCAGGGGCTCCGTGAATGGCTGTTGAACTAAATTGAAATCCGCAAACCACCCTCACAATGTGATAAAGGGCTCCTTTTCCTTTGCAGAATACATCGGAGTTTGTGGAAGACTCCTGCGCCCCCGTCCCCTCCTGGGGTCCCATGGCTGCTTGAGAAATATTTATGGTGGTGACGGGATAGTTTTTATTCTTAAAATAAATTATTGACAATGTCTCTGGCTAATTGGGCCCGTACTGTTACAATGGGTTAAGGCCAGATGTAGCTGGTGATTAAGGAGGATCCAGCGGTGGCAGGGTCTGCTTTGCTTCTCCAGAATCTCCCCACTCCTGAGTCACCTCCAAGCACTCCTGGTGATTCAGGACAGCTGCTGTGGTCACCGGTCACTGGAGGTGACTGCGAGGTGACTGCTATGCCACCCAGCACCCTCCACACCCACACTTCTAGACCCTGTCACTTCTGACCACCCTGAGAGATGCCAAAGGGTGGGTGGGGGGGTTGAGGGTGGCCCTGGAGAAAAAGGAGGGGCTGGTGTGCATGGTGGCGGGTCCCTCAGGCAGCCCGGGTGCCCAGGCCTTGGATGCAGGCGGGACAGAGAGGACACACTGTTTTTGCTGATTGGAAACTTCTGGGGGAGACCAGGCTCCTCTGTCCCCGGTTTAAGCTGGGAATGGACGTTGCGGGAGCCTCTGGGGGGCGTCAGGGGCTACGCGGGGCACCTTGCCCAATCTCACCCTGTCTCTCTAGCAGCCTGCGGAGTAGGAATGGCTAGCCCCACCTGAGACCCAGGCAAAGGATGCTCAGAGACATGAGGCGATTGGAATCCAAGGCAGGATTCAAACCCACGTCAGCCCCAGGCTGCAGCTGGCTCCAGCTTCCACACCAACCCTGGAAGACGTCACAACCCTGGTGTGATGGGCTGTGGCCTTTCTTTTTTTTGATGGGTCCTGGGCAGCTGTCTTCTACTCCACCCTCTGGGCCCTTCAGCCTGTCATGTAGGACACGGGGTCTATTCACCCATGACTTTGTGATTGGGTGGTCGGGGGGCTCCACAGGCAGTTCCTCTCCACCTGAGCGGGGTGACCTTGAGGATATTATTAGCTCTCCTTGAGGCTCAGTTTACCCATCTGCAAATCAGCAGTCCAGATAAGGCCCGCCTCCTACAGACGTGGTGCAGATTGGGCGGAGTAAGGTCTGCAAAGGTCCTGGCACAACATCTGGGGCTCAGGAGGTGCTCCGTAAGTGTTGGTCATCTGAGCTGATGCGGTCCCCCCCAGCATCTCTTGAGACCCCCCCAATGCCCCGCCACGTGGGTCTGAGCCTCCCTCCCAAAGCTCAGCAGATAGCCTCGCTGTTTCTGCCACACATCTGTCCTCCGCACCCCGTCCTGTGGCCAAGCTCCCAAGTGACTTCACTGGGAAAAAGAAGAAAATTAAAACCCAAAGTCCTCAATTAACTCAGGATTCCTGGTTATCGATCACCGCCTGCAAATCCAGTAACAAAGGCACACTGAGCCACCCGGCCCCATCCCCAGTGCCGGTTCCATCAGGACCCCCTCCCCGCCCCCAGGTGCGCCTGGCCATCTTCCTGTCCACAGAGGAACCAGCCCCGAGGGATGGCTGCCTCTACCTAGTTCCCCCCGGAATCATTAAACACAGTCTCTGTTTCATTAAGCAGATCCAGGACAATTCACCTTGTGTAATCAGATCACATAAAATTTTACTTTGAACTCGCTCCAGGGAGGTTGTAAAATTAATGTTGTGGAACCAAAGGGGGGGCGTAGGAGCCTCAATCCAGCCATAATTGGGAGAGGGGCAAAGGTAAGGGGGAATGGGCCTGCACAACAGCTGGGTGGCCTCTGCTTTTAAGGAGGACCCTCCCCTCCCACACCGAGCGTATCCTAAAGCAGCAAGTCTCAAACTTCCAACTGGGCTCAAAGCACTTGGGAATCTTGTTAAAATGCAGATTCGGTTCCCCTAAGACGAGGCTGGGGCCTGCCTGAGACTAGTCAGTAACTCTCCTGGGTGGTGTAGGTGCTGCGGGTCCGCGGCCGCACTTTGAGTAGGAGAGGTGCCCAAGCCTGAGTTCTC